AACAGGTAGCCAGGACACGGGACGTCATCGTCTGACGTGCCTTTTAGGAGGGCAGGGAGCTGGGAGGGAACGAGAACCTTGCCGTGAGGAGCTGAGAGCCCACAACACTGGGGGTGCCGGCTTTATGTTGCTGACATATCCGTCACGGAGGGGACCGGGGAGAAGCCACCGCCCCACCGGTCAGGGAGCCTGTGGGAGGGTCCAGCCCAACTGGCAGTGCTTCTCCCGGTGAACCAAGACTGGCGCTGCCTGCAGCCCCACCTACACACATGCAGCAACTTCACAGGGCCTTTAACGTGACACCTACAGGCGAGCAGGATGAGGCAGCCCAGCAAGCCTCCGTCACCGGAGCTGGGAGGCACCACATTGCACAGCTGCTTGAAACAGCCGACCTAATCGCTCCACATTTGCCACAAACCCCACAAAAATGCCCTGCAACCAGCTTACACTGTGTGTTCACACTTGCCTGTCAGCATGAGTGTATCTGTGTGCATCACACTCTCATCTATCAACACCAGTGACAGCCACAGTGGAGTGCACCCCAGCTCATGGCAGTCCCACGTGTCAGAGCTGCGTGTGCACCAGTCTCCTGTGGCTGTCACCTTTCAGAACCAGGTCACCAGGCCCTCCCTTTGAAGTCTACAAACACAGCGGTGCACTGTTTACAGGAATTAAAAACGTGGACGGCCACCTCTCACACTTGGCATGCTCATAATCTGAGCCTAAGCACGGGAGAGTCTGAGCTTGCTCCGAGCGGGGAGCGAGGAGGACAGGACGTGGCCTCTGAAGATTGAGCACAGGATGTGGTCCAAACGAGAGTCATTAGGGTCATGTTGACAGGGGACAAGGTGTCCTCGAGATGCTAAGTAGATAAAGCAGTCTACTTTCTACAGCCCCCCTTTTCCTAACTGAGGTGCTTCACAAAGAGAGGAACTCAAGCCCAGGAGAGCCGAGGCCGGGTCCTAGGGACCTGCCCACACTGTACAGGAGCGTCCCAGCCTTCAGGAGAGACGCAGGTCTCGGGCAGGAGGGAGGCTGGGAGCAATTCCGGAGAGGACCGTAATCAGGAGATCGGGAGGCTAGACACCGGGCAGAAGGTGACAGAGGGGGCCAAGCCAGGTGACCAGGACGCTGCACACCGGGGCGAGGACGGAGGCCGAGGCCAGGGAGGGCTCCGAGGACGCTGTCCCCGGCACATTGGCTCTAGGCCCAGCGAGTACCAGGAGGGCGGGCCGGGCTCAGGGGAGGCGGGATGCGGCGACGCCAGGGCGGGCGGGCGGCGCGGGAAGGAGGGCAGCAGCTGCTTGGCAGAGGGCCAGGGCTATGCTCCAGGCCGGAGGCGGCGGCGGGCCGAGCGCCGACCGGACTGCGAACACTCACTCACCCGGTGCAGGAAGCTTAGTCGATCCCGCAGCGGCGGCGCCGCCGCCATGATGCCGGCCACCTCCCGGCCCGACTGCTTCCGCCAGGCCCACATCCATCCAATCACTGCGCGGGGATGGCCCCGCTAGCCAATCGAGCGCGGTGGGGCGGGCACTGAAGCTGCCTTAGGTAAACAACTTTGAGTGTAAGCCAAGTCAAAGTCCCAGAGCAGTGACAGACAAGGACACGAACCAATTGTAAGACTCTAAGACACAGGGCGCTGGTGTGGAGGCGGGCAGAGGGCGAAGGCGGAAACGTGCCAATTCGAGAGCTCGGGGAAGGTCAGGGCGGAAGCGCGTACATCTGAGGCCGTTGGCGCCGGAAGGGGTTGAGCCCAAGATGGCGGCGCCAGGGGGGCCTGGGACGAGCCGCTCATGTCGGCGACCGGAACGGTGTGGGGTCGCGTGCGAGGCCGCCTCCGCGCCTTCCCCGAGTGCCTGGCAGCCTGCGGAGCCGAGGTGAGGGGTCGTGGGGCGGGGCAGCGTCTTTGGAGCAGGAAAGGCTGCGCGAGGCGGGGAGCGGTGGGCGATGGGGCGGGAGGGTCGCGCAGGGCGAAGGGCGGCGGCGCGGACCGGGGGCCGGGAGGGCCGCCGCGACCCGCGCTCGTCCCGCTTTGCAGGCCGCGGCGTACGGCAGGTGCGTGCAGGCTTCCACTACCCCAGGCGGCCGTCTGAGAAAAGATCTGTGCGCGCAGGAGTTCGAGGCCCTGCGGAGCTGTTTTGCCGCCGCGGTAGGTGGGCACAGGCGGGGCTCGAGCCGGTCGGCTGCCTCCCCGGCGGTTCCCGCCCTGCGCAGTGGGAAGGACACAAGTCCCGGTGGAGGAGCTTGGCCCGGGGCCTGCCTTACTTGATTAGTGCTGGAGCGCCTACCGGTGCTTTAGTGTCGAGGTACCAGTCGGCGTAAGAGCACACGGGACCCCCACCGTCGCGGAGTTGACGCATCCTCTGCGCCAGCCGCAGAAGCCGGTGCAGGATCAGCAGGGACGACGAAGCCCTTTACAAACCCCTGACGCTGGGGGACTCGCATAGCCCGCTCCTCGCCTTGGGATGGGGTCGGGAGGGACGCGGCGGGGGACTGGGGTTCCTTGCCTTGAAGCCAGATCGAACCTGAAAGCAACCTGCTGTGAGAAAGTACTTTTTTTTTGCAGGCCAAGAAGACCAGGAAGGCAGGCTGAGCAGTTGAGAGCGCGAGGCCTGTCCTTGCTGATGGCACCCCACTGGGCTGAAACCAGGCACCGGGCCCTCAGTCCTCGTGTGTGCAGGGGACGGCTGTCTCCGCGGGAGAGCCCAGGGCAGAGGAGGGGCGAGGGGCCAGAATTCTGGAAACAGTGTGAGATGGAATAAAACATACTTGAACAGCTTATAAGGAGCTCTGGTGGCACAGTGGTTCAGGCGTTTGATTGCTAACCAAAAGGTCAGTGGTTCGAACCCACCAGCCACTCCATGGAAGAAAGATGAGGCTGTATACTTCCGTCAAGACAGACAGCCTTGGAAACCCAGTGGGGGTTGCTCCCGGTTGGATCCTACTCCATGGCAGTGATTTTGGGGCTCTGAACAACTTGTGCCAAATTCTGTTTCACTGTGTGCAGGGGGCGGGGCAGAGGAACAAGGGATAAAATTAAAAGTGGCTTAAACAGCACCGACAAGCGGACGCACAGGACTGGGTGGTGTACAGGACTGGGTGGTGTTTTGTTGTTGTATCTGGCGTGCTATATGAATCGGCACCACTCGAGCACCTAACAGTACGAGCCTGCGAGGGAGAGAAGGCCGCGCGGGAGGGCATCCTAGACATGACTTTCTGGGACTCAAAGAGGCGGGTTCTCCCAGACTAGGGATCGTCTATAAGTAGGTGTCAGGGGCCCCAGCCCTCCTTTTGCTGCCTCTACTTGGCATCAGAAGCCCCACATTCATCACAGACCTCTTCGCAACCACTCCAGTTCCCCATCTTCTTCCATGTCCTGAAAAAACGAGATGAACAATGTGGCGCCTGCCCCAGGGGAAAAAAAAAAAAAACCACACGCACGCCGGCGCGCATCATCCCACCCCCGCAGCGGGGTCCTGAGGATCCTGGGCGCCACCTGCTGGGCACGCAGGTGCCTGCTTCGCGTGCGCGCCACCTGCTGGGCATGGAGGTCACCCCAGCTCTCGTGCAGCAGCCTGCACCAGAGGGCCACACCTGGCTGGACCCAGCGAGGAGTCGGGGGCGGTCTGGTGGGAGCCACCGCAGTGGGTGAGCCCAGGTCTGCGCTTCCAGACCCTCAACTGGCCCATGTGTCGAAATGCAGAAACCCTGGCGTCCCTGATCCCTGTAAGGCTTCCGGGTGGCCTTGACCATACCGTACCACAAAGTACTTTGCGCTCCCGGCGTTGTGGACGTGTGGGAAACAGACGCCGCCCTGCATGCGCGCGCGGGGAGGCGAGACCGCGCCATTCCAACCTCTTGGAAGAGGACGGGGTGGGTGGTAGCCTGCTAACAAAGGCGGATCCAGAAAAGAAAAAACTGGGCCAAGCCGAGACTCAGGAAAATCACGCCAGAAATAAAACCCCACTCCAGGTAATTCGAGCGCTGAGCTTCCGCCTGGAGGCGGGACGTCCAGAGGGCATGTCACCAGGGGCAACAGCTCAGCCCGGGATGGTTTCCAGCTAAAACCGCGAGAAGGCTCCCTGTTCCCCGAATTCATGAACACCGGAAACTGGGTGACCTCATTTTGAAATGGGGTCTTTGCAGATGCGATCAATTTGAGCTCACGGCGGAGCTGGCTGAGTATCCTTCACGTAGAAATTACAGTAAAAAAGATTTCAAACGGTGCGGGGAGGCAGGACTCCAGCTGAGACCCAGATTTCTGAAGGACATTTCAAAGGCCGGTCCTTCCCGGCAGGCGTGGTCGGCGCGCAGCCCCCACCCCAGACCAGTGCACAGGGATATGGGCGGACTGCTTCCGCCACCGGGCTCCCAGGCGGAGGGCGCACGCGCGCACCAGCTGCTCTGCTCCCTGGAAAGCGCCACTCCACCCCCAGAGCGGCTGTGCTTAGGGGGACACTCTGTCGACCCTCCCCGGACGACAGCCCCAACCACGAAATGAGGGGGTGTGGCCAGCGAGCACTCAGCAGCAGCCCCCTTTCCGTAGCGTGCCTCCTCCGCGTCCTGGTGCCCTCCCCACCGTTCCCAGTGACTGACGGTGTTCTCCCCGTCGCTCATCACCCCCTCGGCGGGATCCTCAACTTGTTTCCAGGTAGCGCACCTCAACGCCAGCTGTATCATCTCTGGCTCTCAGTGGTGTTTTTATTGGTCACAGATGAACTCAGAGCGGCTTGGGAATGCACGGGGAAGGTGGCCAGCCAGGATGGGAGCCAGCAGAGGGGCAGGCACGCGACACCCCGTCCCTGGCGACGGCAGCGGGCAGTGTTTATTACTTGACATCGGATTAATGACAATTCCGAGGAACCAGCTGTGTTCTCAGGGCAGCCTGGTTGGGCCGGGGGTCAGGGAGGGCGGGAGGCGGCTGCGCTCCTGGGCAGGTGGGACTACGTCTGTGTCGGACACACACAGGCCACGCAGCTCCTCGGTGCGGCTCAGGGCCGAGGAGCCCCTCTCCTCCGGCGACTGGACCCACTTCCAAGGATATTGGCGGAACCTTCTAGTCGCGGCCTCCGAGTAAAAGGCGACCATTCTGGTTAGGAGCGGGCGCGTGGACACGATGTCGCGGGCCTCCTGAGCAGGCCAGGCGGGCTGGCGCCCTGGGGCAGAGGCGCGAGCGGGCCGACTCAGGCCGCGTCCGCAGGGGGCGCCGGCACCTGCTTCATCTGCCGGCTCCGCACCACCTGCGCCGCCTGCTGGAGCTGGGCCTGCAGGGGCCCGCGCAGGCCATCGGCCCCGAACCCCAGCAGGGGAGGGGGCCCGAGAACGCCGTCCTGCCCCGGCTCGGGGGCCAGACCCCGGCGCCGCCGCCGCAGGTCGGCGCCGCCCTGCACCTTCAGATCTCGGTTGGGCTTGGCGTTGTCCCGCTTGGGGTCGTCGGGGTCAGCCACTTGGGGCCCCGGCTCTGGCTCTGCCGCCTGCCTCGCGGTGTCCCCTCCGAGCGCCTCCTTCCCGGCCTCTGGGAGGTGGGCCTGGCCGGGCGGCTGGCCTCGACCCCCGTCAGAGGCGCCCCGGCGTTCCGACGCGGCCAGGGCCGGCGGGGCCGCTCCTCCCTGGGGCCGGGGTGCCAGCTCCGCCGCGGGCCCCACGTCTCGGCTCACCTGCCGGGCCTCTACCCTCGCCCCCACCCCAAGCGCGGGGGCCCCCTTCCCAACGTCAGCGCCGGCGGCGGGTTCTTTACCAGATTTCTTCACTCCTCGAGCGCCTCCCTCAGGGCCTCCCCGACCTTGTCCGGGGGGCTGGGGCGACCCCACGGGGGCGTGCGCTGCAGGAGCCTCCAGGCCGCCAGGCGGCGGTTCCTGTTCCCGCGGGACACCCTGCCGGCCTTCCCCCGCCTTAGCCTGCGCTGCCCCGGGCTTCGCATCCGAGCTGCCACCGGGAGGGCCGGCTGCGCCTCTGATGGCGACCCCCTGGGGCCCCTCCGCCGCCCACGGGCCATGCTCTTTGGGGGTTGCCGGGCGGTCTCCGGGCGCAGGTGCCTTGGGCTGGGCGGGCGGGTCCTGGCCCTGATCCCCAGCAAAGGCCTCTCTCTCCTTATCACCGGGCGCCACCAGCCCCGCCTCGGCCTGCGTGTCCCCTGCAAAGGAAAGTTAGCACAACCATGTCCTCGACCGCGGGGCAGGGGCTGGGGTGAACCCGGGTCAGGACTCACGGGCCGGCCTCCTCCGAGCTCCTTGGGGTGCAGCCGCCAGCGCGGCCCCGCCCCCCAGCGCGGCCCCGGCCCCGCCCAGCGCCCACCGGCTCGGGGCCGCTCCTCCTCGCCGTCCTGCCGCTGTTGGTGGATCTCCTTGTGCTGCTCCTCGATCACCGCCAGCAGCTTCTCCTGCTGCTCCAACAGCCGCTTCTGCTGCGCCTGCTGCTCCTGGATCACCTGCAGCAGCACCGCGTGGTCCAGCAGCTCGGCCCGGCCCGCGTCTGCGGGGGCGGGGGGCGCGCAGTCAGGGCGGGGCTGGGGCGGGCCCCGCCGCCCACAGCGTCCCATCCCCACCCACCCCCGCGGCCCCAACCTCCCTAACCTGCCCCCAGCAGATGCCCAGAGGGGCGTGGGAGCTGCCGGGGACAAGCTCGCCTGGCCAGCCGGCGCTCCTATCCCGCACCTGGCTCCCGGACCAGTAAGGAAAGGAAGTAAAGCCTCTGAAGGACACAGTGCGCCTAACTGGAAATGGGCGCTGCCTCCCAGGGCATGTGTTAGCTGTCGTCCTGGCAGGCCAGAGGAGCAGGGTGCCAGCCCCCCCAGGCGCTCCGCCCGCCTCGGCCTCCCCAGCCCCCCCCACCTAGGACCCCTCCCTCCTCCGTCTCCCCAGCGCACCCCTCAGGCTCTCTGCCCCACCCCCACAACTCAGTCTCCCCAGCCCCCCACATACACCTCAGCGCCAGGTCTGGGTACAGGGGAGCTCACTCCGCCCCAGCAGCTCTCTGCTGGAGCAGCAGGCGTTTTAAACGGGAGCCCTCAGGACAGTGGGTTAGAGACCTCAAGTGTCAAGTTCAAGTCAGAAGAATGCCTACCCTCTGGGGGGAGGGCACATCCCATGAGGCATCCATGTGTTGGCCCTGTAGTGCATGCCTTCCATCCCAATGGGGACAGGCAGCCTGTTACCACACTTGCTCGCTCACAGTGACAGCCACTGGGCCGAACTGAGCCCTGGCCCAGCAGCCACCACATGGGGGCCAGCGAGAGGCCAAGCGAGGGGCACATTGTGTCCGGGACAGCAGAGCAAAGAGCAGAGCCTGTGAGTGCGGGGAGCACTTGGCACCGTCCCCAGGGGTTCAGCCACCACCTCAGCACTGTCATCCTGGTGCTGCCAGCCACAACCAGGGTACAAGAAGCAGGGATGAGGCCCCATGCTACTGCCCCTCCCAGCCCCCAGGACAGGGTTCCAGAAGCGCAGGACAGCCCAGGACCTGGGGCAGGGGAAGCACCACATCCGGCCAGAAGTGACACGCAGGGCAGCTTTGGGGCACAGAGGGTGGGTGTGACGGGCCCGCTGTACATGCAGGCACGTGATACAGCGTTGCCAGCCACACAGACTGGCACCCTGCCTCATGGGGGTGCCTGAAGCCACCAGGGCTGACTGCGCCCACTGCCTGGAGAACAACCATGCCCTGCAGAACCCCGCCAAGACCACCTGGGTAGGGGGTCAAAGGAGGCATGAGGGTGCACTGGGGCTAGAGGCCATGTGTGGCTCTAGGGGGCCCTGACCCAAGGGTGCATGCAGGATTCCGACGGCAACAGGGCACCATGGTTTCTGCCATGTCGAGGCATTCGGACCCTCTGCCAACCCGCCTCTACCCTGACGCCATCCTCGGTTCATACCTGCCACCATCTTTTTAATCTCGGCTGCGGTCCCGTTGAAAGGCATAAAGCAGACAGATTAGAGAGCAGAAGAGGCCCTTTCCCAGAGAACAAAGTCAAAGAATCAAACAGGTTTAAAGAACAGACCGCAGGGATTGGAGGCGCACCTGCAGCCGGAGGAAATGAGACAAGAGGCGTGCACGTGAGACCTGAGAGCAGCAAGAGGCGTGCACGTGAGACCGAGACAAGCAGCCCGAGACACGCCCGTGCCCCTCGCTCTGCCCATCCGCAGGTGTCGCAGCCGGGGCTCTGAGCCCGTACCTCCCACTGTAGTCATGGCCAGCAAAGCTAGACCAGGATGGACCCAAATTTGTGAAATGTGGGTGAACCAGGACAATAACTGGGACAGGAAAGGTTATGGGTCAGTGGCCTCCTAGAAAACAAGGGCACATGCACACAGCCCAGCAACCAGGCCTCTTGACTGGCAGAATCAGAAAAACCAGTGCCCAGTTCAAAGGTGGCGGCTGACCCCGCCATGCTGAATATGCCTCTCCACAGCCTGGCGGTAACCCCACATTGGGCCCCTGCAAGGGCTCACAAGGCCTCTTCTGAGTCTCCCACGCCAGGGCTTCACCTCACGATTTTCCCTCTTCCAGTTACATTATGGAACAGAAACTTACAAAGTGGGGTCTTCCACAATTTCACTCCTCTGACCACAACCCAACAAGCCGGAACCTATCTGCAGCCCTGGTTTGGAGGAGTGCCTGGGACTGAACCCCAGGCCACGTAAGAGAGGCTGTGTACACATAGCTAGCTTCTGCTGAGCTAAGCGTGCAGGGACCAGCTGTCCTGACCCCGTGGGACCCCAGGAAGCACATTCCATGGGAAAAGCAAGCCTGGGTCTCACAGATCTGGGGGCACAGTGTCAGCGACCCCCGTGGCGCTGCCCCAGGGCAGGGCAAGGGGCCTGGGTGGAGAGAGCGGGACAGTGCAGACACTGCTGCCTGGACCCACATCCCGGAGGGGACACCCTGTGCTGTCACAGCACAACTGGTACCCCTGCCTGCTTGAGGCCTAGGAGCTAGGGATGCACACAGCACTGGGCTCGACCAGGGCATTACTGCAGCGGTGCTCGGCCACACGCCGCAGGCCAGGCGGGGAGCGGGACGTAAACCGTGGCGACCAAGGAAAGGGAGGAGGTAACCAGGCCCCAGCCCTAGGCGCCGTCACCTGGCCCCCCACCCTGACAATAGCTGGGGGTAAAGCCGGATGGGTGTGAGGGCTGGCGAGGAGGTGGGGCTGCCTTCACAGCAGGAAAAGGGGACAGGCGTCTGGGGACAGGTGACTGGTCTCTCCTGCCGGTGACCACACACCGCTCTGCCGCTGGGCCAGGGCCATAGGCAGAGCACAAGGGCAGGAGCGCTGTGGGGGCTGAGACGTGGGCTGCCTCACGAGGCGAGGCCTGGGGCCGCGGGCCCTGCTGACTGACACCTGGCTGCTTGAGACAGCAGGGCTGAGTACTGACACCCCTGCCGCAGGGCGAGCAGAGACGGGGACTCCCGACCTAGTGACGGCGTGGCAAGCTGCGTTTACAGGGGAGAAAGACAGCGAGGCACGTTCCCGTGGAGTGTGGACAGCGAGCCGCCGGGGGAGCCAGGGCGAGCTGTGGGCGTCCCTTCCCAGAGCAGCAGCCAGGGTGACCCAGGAGGGAGGCCCAGGGCGCAAGCAGCAGCCGGCCTTACCCTCTAGCTTGCTGCCACCGTTGTCCTCGGGCGGCCCCTCTGCGTGTCTCTGCTCCCGCAGCTCCGCCAGCAGCCCCTCCGGGGGGTCAGGTCTCAGTGCCGGGAGGGCAGCCTTCCCACCTGTGGACACGACACCCAGACCTGGCCCGTTTTCCACAGGTCAGAGGAAGAGGGCCGGGAGGGGCTGCAGTGCAGGGGCGCGGGGCGGGGAGGCAGCAGGTGCAGAGCAGCGCAGGCGACGGTCTGCCTGATTCCCAGACCGACGGACGTGTCACCGTCGTGCAGCCCGGTGGCGGTGCGCCAGCACTAAGTGCCTCTGGCACGCAACACAAATGGGAGCTAACCAGCCTCCCACAGCACTCGTCAGCACGTCACCACCACACACCCCACAGTCCCCATGCACCTCGGCACTGGTAACAGTGTGGGCCTGACCCTCAGTGGCCAAGGGAACAGTTAATTGCCTAAAGGGGACAGCAGGACCCATCAAGACCCTGGACTCCTGCCCCCACCGTGGCCGCCGCTCCCCACGCCAAGCTCACAGAGCAGAGCAGATGGAAGGAGTGGCTCCTGGACTCCCCGCCCCTCCCAGGCCCTCCCCAGGGAAGCCCCAGGCTGTCACCCACCAGGGCCGCTCTGTTGGGCCGCAGGCTTCTCTCGCTCCTCGACAGGTGGGACGTGGCCTGCCTTCTCCTTTCCTCCCATCTCTGCCTTCTCCTCCATGAGCACTGCCTGGGGCCCTGGAGGGCCGTCTCTGTCACCGTGCCCCAGATGCTCACTGGCAGGCTGGGCAGCCGGCCGGCCCTTGGCCTCTGGAACCTTCTGGAGTCCCTCAGGAGGGCCAGCGACTTCCTGCAGCCCATCCCCCTGCTTGGGCTCCGAGTCCAGCACGGGGTGCCCCTCAGACTCCCCCCCCTCTGGAGCTTCCCCACCCGCATGTTCGGACCCACGTTTGTCCTCTGGTCCTTCCTGGTCTTGGCCCTCATCGACCATCACCTTGTCTTGTGGGACGGGGGGCTCATGACGGTGGGCCTCCCCCAGGGGCACGGCAACTCCTAGAAAGACGAAAATACTTATAGTGGTGATGCCTGTCACACAGCTCAGTGACGTTAGATTCATCACGTTGCTGAGCCACTGCCAACAGCTATTCCTGGACTTCCCACCACACTCAGCAGCAGCTTGGTGCCCTCGGGTGCCGTCTTCCCTGACTGGACGCTGACGGGCCTGGCAGGGATCTGGCTTGGAGGGAGGCCGCCCTGTCCTCTCCTGGGGCTGTGGGCCGCCCCTCCTGCGTGTCTGACTGCCCTCTGGTCGAATATGGACATTGTTTCTGGGAAATGAGAGGAGCAGCTGCAAGACCAAAAGTGGATGGGAAGGCAGGCGGGGCCACAACTCCTGACTGAGCTGAGGGAAGAGACATACACCCAAGAGCCCAACAGGGCGTCAGGGGCCTCGCACCCACGCCCACCTTGGCCGGGACGGTCCAGCTGCACCTCCTCGGCCTTCTCCTTGGCGTCTCCTCTCAGGGGCACCTCCACAGGGCCCTTGATCTGGGCCTGCTCCACCTCGTCCTTCACGCTGGGCAGCTTTGGCTTGTCGCGGGCATCCTCGGCCACCTCCATGACCGGGTTCTGGGCTGGAAGTATGGGCAGCAGGCTGAAACAGGATCTGTGCCACACACACCCGCCAGCCACCCTGAGGGGCCTGGCGTCTGGCCCGCCGCAGCAGAGCCCCGCCACTCGTTTTTCCTGCCAGTCATTAGCAGCCAAGTAGCATGCACAACTGTCATTTTGTTCATAACAAAAACATGTCAAAATGCAACTTACACCTGACCCCATGCAGAAAGTGCACAGCCCGTGTCATTCCATGCCCTCCCCACCGGGTGGCAGCACAAACCCGCCGTTCCCAGGAGCGGAGCAGGGCTCTCAAGGAGCTGAGAACTGTCATGTGGCCAGGGCCGGCTTGTGACTCTGGCCCTGCGTAACGGGCAACTAGCCTGCCAAACCGCCAGCTGCTAGAAGGCCGCACCAGCCCGCACATGCGTGTGTATGTGCGCGCACGCGAGAGAGAGTGCGTGCAAGCAGTAGGTGGGGCACTGGTCTGCCATCCTACAAACCTCTCACCTCGCGTGACAAAAATTAACATTATAGGAAAAGAAAAAGCCAGCCAAGCTGTCAAGCCGGGCTGCCCTCGCACGAGGACTGCCTGTCCTGTATGGGTGCCCCAAACAGGACAGGCTGGGGGGAGCGGCCCCGACCCGCACGCATGCCTAGGGGCTGTGGAAAGGCGGTGGTGGCACAGAAGTGAGTCACCGTACGAGTACCGGGGAGCTGCCCCACCATGGAGGAGAGCAACCTTCACAGGCCAGGCAGGAACAGCAAGAGACAACCGGGGAGCCGTCAGGAGGGAGACGCTCAGCTGAGCCCCCCACCCCCAGGCCTCAGCCGCCTCGGGGCTCCACCCAGAGACAGCAGTGCTAGAAAAGGGGAGCAGGGCCGAGGGCCGGGAGCAGAGCCGACGTCCAGAGTGAGCTGCGCGTGACGGGGGCCTGCGGAACTTTCTGGAACAAGGACATGGGCCAGCCCTGCTAGAGGGTGCAGGGGGCTCCTAACCCCGGAAGGAGGAAGACTGGCCGAGCCTCAGCCCTGTCACCCTGACCAGCCAGCTGAGTGTCGGGTTGCGGAGAACACGAGCAGGCGGCCGGCACCTGCTGAAGAGCAGCCGTCAGAAAGCCCTGGGCCAGCTGCTCACGGCTCAGCCACACCAGGGCCGAGTGGCCGACCTGACTGACCGGGGGCTGGCCGCCCTGGCAGGTGATGGGGTCCGCCTCCAGCACAGAAACAACCCCACACATCAGAAGGGCCTGCCCAGTGGGTCACAAAGCTGTGGAAGGGGCCCAGGAAGGGAAGAAAACCCACGGCAACGAGAAAGGCAGCAGCCCTGTAGGATGGCACCCTGCCTCCAGCAGTCACTGCCCCAGCAGGAAGCAGTCACGTTCCCACCAGGCCCGGGGGAGCGGTCTCTCAGGCCACTCGGGTCTGTGTGGTGCTTCATACCATACAGGCCGTGTGCCCACCACACAGCCCCTCAGACCACAGCCCAGGGACCCTGCGGCAGTCGCATCTGAGCAAACCTCCTTTCACAGGAGAAGCCGTGTGCGCGCCCATGTGCACTTCCCGGCTCCCAGCACCCCTGGCGCCACGTCCAGCCCCCGGGCTTTCTACACCAGCACCCTTTCCCTTGTGGGCACTGAGCCCGCACCACCTCCCGGCCATGGTAAAGCCAACCTAAAACCTCAGTCAAAACCCGAAAAACACCCGGTGCCACGATGGCTGTCGCAGGGTTCTTCTTAACCGTTAACATGGCGACGGGGCTGAAGGCCCTTGGGAGGCAGACTGCTCGGTTCCTGAATTTCTCCTCGTGGGAAGGGGCCCCCGCCACCAGCCGCCCACACGCGGGAGGCCCAGGCCCAGGAGGGTCCCAGCTCTTTGTCTGAGGTGGCCTCTGTCCGCACAGCTCCAGCCAGCAGAGGGGGCCGCATGCCAAGGGCTCCCGGAGACTCCTTACCGTCTCCGGGACTTTTACAGAAGACCTGGCCCACACGAGTGGTGGGAACAGGCTCGGGAGGGCGGGCGTCTGGCAGCACGCGGCCCAGCTGTGCACCGTGCTCAGGCCTGTGGTCACTATGACCACGAGTCACTCGCCCGGTGGCCCTGCACTCTGCCTCGCACCCCTGGAGCCCTCACCTACTGTCCCAGCTGGACAACGTGCAGGAGACCTTCCTGGGGACCAGAGCCCCCCAGTCTGTGCCTGGGTCAACAGCTTCAAAGAGCCCTCTGCCCTCGATACAAGGGTGGCCCAGCTGTGCCCGGAAATGCGCCCACACACTCCTCAGGACGCGGATGCACGGTGACAGGTGTCCCACGCACGGCCCAGGCTGGGAGAGCGGGCATACTGGCCAAAACCCTATCAGTGGTTGGGAAATAAGCAACCAATCACACAGGGAGCAGACAGACAGACCCTAACCACTGCCTGCCAAGGGGGAAACGGGCTCAGAATCTGTATCCTTGAAACCAAACGAACCCACACACGGACGCAACACCCACGTTTGCACACCTGCTGGCTGAACAGTGGGCACCGGGACCACAGCCGTGAGGGCAGAGGAGTAGCAGCAGGCGGGGCCGTTTCAGCCCCAGGCAATCGGAGTGCCACCCGTGCACAGCTGCTGGCTGGTGGGTCCATGGTGGGTTCCCAGCTCGACCCTTTCCCCACTACCTCCTCCCCAGGGGAAGGCAGAGAGGACTGGCAGGGACTCAGCTGCCTCTGGAAAGGGCCTTGCACCCCCGTGGCCAGGGAGTGCAGGGGCGGGGGGACGTACACACCTGACAGCCGGGGCACCTCCGCCTTCCTGCCGCTCTCGGCCTCCGCGAGCCTGCCGCCGTGGGCGTCCTCTGCCAGACCCACAGGGGCCTCCTCACGCACAGACAGCGTGGTGTGTGTGCTGATGACCAGGACCCCCAGGCCGACCCAGAGCACCACCTGGACCAAGACAGCAGCAGGAGCAGCGGTCAGGCAGCCCCTCGCTGGGGCTGGACTGGCAGGGGGCTGGCCGGAGGGGAAGAGAGAAGGGTGGTCTTCATCTGTTGTTTCCGTGAGGGAGCAGGGGGACACACACGGCACAGCCCAGCCAGGACCTGTGACGTGCCAAGGGCCAGACACCATAACGAGGAAGCAGTGTGGCTCTGCATCCACGAGCACCACCCTGCAAGGCTCCGAGAGGCACCAGTGGCCACCGTCCAGCCGGCAGTACAGAAATGGGCAGGGGGTGGGGCGGGGTCTCTGGGAGACACAGGGTCAGAGAAGCCTAAAGACAGAGACGGGTACAGACAAGCCTTCAGGGGCCCGGCCACCCGTCAGGTCTCCTGAAGGCCAGGGTGCTGTCAATGCCAGGCTGCCAAGGAGAAAGGAGCTAGAATCTCAGGGCGACAGCAGACAGGAGCCCGTCCGTGAGGCCCTCAGAGGGCTTCCCAGGCCAGGTCGAGTGAGCTGCCCCCCCACCCCACCCCACCCCCGTCGCCCAGAGCAGACCCAGCAGATTGGACGCACCAGGCCAGTGAGGGGAACCTGTGTGCGCTGGCAGGGCACTGGCAGCCTGCATGGGCAGTGGTGCTGCCAAGCAACGGGACACGAGGCCTTCCCACCCCACCAGCTCTGGTCCCCTTGCAGGACCCGGCCGCTTGGTAGTGCCACAAGTGCGGTCCTCAGGTAGGTACTACTGCAGACCCCAGGGGATGGAATCCAGCTCCTGCCGTTTAAAAACCTGCACCTGGGGGGCAGCCACCACCCGGGAGACGTGGATGTGACTGTTCCTGCCCTGCTCGGCCTGGCCACACGGCCTCCAGAAGCCACAGAACGGGAGCGGCCGGGCCACACAGCCCCCGAGCCAGGGCCGCCCCCCCTCAATCACCTGGAGCCCCGAGCCAGGGCCGCCCCCCCTCAATCACCTGGAGCCCAGAGCCAGGGCCGCCCCACCCTCGATCTCCTGGCAGCCCTGAGCCAGGGCCGCCCCACCCTCGATCTCCTGGAGCCCTGAGCCAGGGCCGCCCCACCCTCGATCTCCTGCCAGCCCTGAGCCAGGGCCGCCCCACCCTCGATCTCCTGGCAGCCCTGAGCCAGGGCCGCCCCACCCTCGATCTCCTGGCAGCCCTGAGCCAGGGCCGCCACGACCCAGAGACTGGCTGCCACAGAAGAGCGTGCCCACGCCACTGAAGCTCCCAGGAGGACATGCCCTGGCCTCCCCCGACACTGCAGGAGCACGGAGCTGGTTTCCGTTCAGGGCAGCCACGTGCTGGCACTGGCCCATGGCCCCACGAGCTCCTGGGCTTGGGGAGCCTGTGGCTGCTCACCGGGCCTCCCGACACCAAGCCACACCCCGGAGTCCGAGGACACGGAAGTCACCGGAGGAGAAGATGTGAACCACCGATCTGAGACGCGGGAGGAAGGAGAGCCAGAGAACCGATCCCGACGCCCCTGCCGCCTGGACAAGTGCACCTGCACGCCAGGGCCAGGCCCCCACCAGCGCTCCCCCCGGCTGCTCAGCACATGCCTGCCAGCCGGAGCCGCCCCAGGCGAGGGCCGCAGAGGAGGCGCAGAGCCCCTTGGTGCCCCACCTCCTTGCTTGGCTGGAGGCCCCTTTGCTGAGACCTGGCGCTGAAGAACGTGCTTCCTCACAAGCCTGGGTCCACACCAGGTGTCAGGGTGTCGGCCGCGGATCCCTGCGCAGCCGATGGAGAGCTCGGCCCTACCTCCCTCTGTTCCGGGGCCGCTCAGCCTCACGTCCCTGGCGCTCCTTTGCTGGGAGATGACCTGCCTGTGTCAGCACGTGACATGTCTGCCCGTGTCACTCTGGTACCGTGTCCTTTGTTCCCTGTGTAAGATGTCACTCAGAGAGGATTATGACCCAGCCTCTTCTAGTCACCAACTTAACTGAAGACAAGGTCAGGTTCCCAGGTACAGGGTCAGGATGCCAGCGTGTCCCCTTGGGGGCACAGTTCAGTCCCGGGCTGCTTCCAACTGCAGACCCTCAATCACAGCCGCAGCCTGGAGCTCTGTACCCGCACGCACGGCCTCGGGGACACCGACTGGTCAGACAACCCCCTCCGAGGCCATGGGACAGGCAGAGGGAGTTTGTTCCCTGGGGTCAGAGCACCAGTCACTTGTCGCCGTATTTCTAGGACCCCTGCTTTCTCTGCTGGACCCCGGCAGACCCCCATCTCTCCAGCGTGGAGACCAAGAATGGACACACCATGGCAGGTGAAGTTCCTTCTCAACCCCCTGGGGGTGGCTGTTCCCACGTTCCTGAGCGTTCCACGGGCTCTCGGCACACTGCCCCTCCATGCACCCTCTCCTCAGGTCAGAGGGGCTCCACACCGTGCTGCCCCACGGCTCCTCTTGGGGTCCCCAGGATGGAGGAGGTGCTGTACCGCGGAGGGGTGCTCCCAGTCATGGCGAGCAGACGCCTGGCCCGACACAAGACGGGGTAAGAGGAGCCCACTGCACCCCCGGGCAGACGCCGTCTCATCCTCAGGGTTGATGCTGCGCCAAACTCCAGCCGCGTCTCCCCAGAGCAGTCCTCGGAAAACAAGGGCGTAAATAAAACACAGAGCTCCAGGGGTTGCCAGTGGTTAAGCTGGACACCAACCTGAAGGCTGGCAGTTCAAACTCCCCCAGCGGCCCCAGGGAGAGGCCCGGTGATCTGCCCCAGAAAGGTCACCGTCTTGCAAACCTTGAGGGAAGTTCTACCCCACACACAGGTCGCCACGAGTCAGAGCTGGCCCCACAGCAACCAACGACAACAGGTAAAACGCAACCGCACACACGACCTGACACACCCATTCCTGGCCTGCGTGGGGACCAGTGGCCCAAAGTCACAGAGAAGCTCTGCCGTCCCCTCCACACACCAGGCACGCAAGGGAGGCAACACGCCTGCTTGGTTTCAAAACACGTGGCAGAGTGGGCACGGATGGGGACCTCCTTCACACGACTGTGTGTTGACGTCGGTGTCCCACGGAGGTGTGTGAGCACGTACACATAATCACATCCACACATCGCTGACCGTAAGCAGCAGCTTCCACAGTCGGGGTGCGCTGGCGCCTCTACCACCGCCTCCCGGGCAGGGGTGGGAGACACACGAGTGCGAGCTGGGGGAGGCGCTGACGTGCCGTTAGTCCCGAGTGGGAAACCCAGAGCAACCGTGGGGCTCCACAAGGTGAGTGGGTCAAAAACTAACGCAGGAGCATCTGAGCCTCGTTCCTCCGATATCAAAGAACAGCCATAAAGCAGCAGCCGGTGCCGAGGAGTCGATCCCAACTCACCCCCACGTCAGCCAGGACACGCTGCTCCACGGGGCTGCCGACGGCTGAGTGCCAGAGGCAGCTGGTCAGGTCTTCCTTCCGAGGCACTCTGGGTGGACCCGGCTCACACCTACCGCTGGCACCGCCCGGGAGCCCCAGGCTCATCCCCGGCCGTTGTTCCTATACAGGTTGCTACACGTTAACCTTACTGTGGTTAAAACCCACGGAGCGTGACATGCGGCATGAGCTCTGTCACTGTAAGCAACCACCTTTAAATGCACGAGTCAGAAGGTTGTGTGGCCTTCACCACTGTCTGCACCCAGATCTCTCTCCACACCCTAAACCGAGCCCTGCCCCCTTGGCAGCCGCTCCCCTCGCCCCACCCTGGCAACCTCTTTATCTTCTGTCTCTGTATCAGAGGCCGGAGACTGCATCTCGGTTTTGGTATAATACAGCTGACTACGCTCTTGCCATTTAACCACTGTAAGCAGATCGTTTGGTAGCACGAGTTACAGCCACCACAGAGACTGTCACCACCACTGGCCACTCCCACATGCTTTTCACCCTGAATGCACCCAGCACCACTTAAATCACACCCCTTCCCTCTGCCCTGCCCGTGGCGGCCTCGGTGCATTCGCGGATGCTGGGTGGTTCGTGTAAGCGGCATCATATAGCATGTGGCCTTCTGTGTCTGGCAGCTTTCACGCTGTACCAGGTTTTTGCGGTCCTTCCACACGGTGCCACGTACCAAGACTGCATTCCTCTTCACGGCTGAGTGATACTCCATTGCATGGATACAGCACATGCTGTTTACCCGCTCACCCATCGACAGGCACTTGCAATGGCCCTGCTGTGACCACCACTGCCGTGGACAGGCTGTCCACGCATCACCGTGAGTCCCTGCCTTCTGGTCTCTGGAGCGCCTATCTATCTAGAAGCAGGCTTGCTGCGTCATATGGTCACTTCCCTTACAGGGAGAAAGAAAGATTTTAACTGCTTCATTTATCCGAAGGGTGACAAGAAAGAAGAAAGAGGAAAGAGGACAGATAGGCAAGTGAAAACGAAGAGTGGGGTGGAAGTTTAATCCCAGATAAGTCGGCGACGACACACCATGTGCACCAGCACCAGATCCTGCTGTGAACAGACTGGAAACAAAACCTGTGGACAAGAGACCACCCTAAACCTATGACACAGAGAGAACAAGAGGAAAAGGATGAACTAAGGAAACTGCCAAACACTAACCCAAAAGAAAGCTGCTTGGCCACCCTGGGTCAGACAAGGTGATGTGTAGGTAAGAATCGATTCTAGAGATGAGAAGGGACATCTTCCAAAGAAAAGGGTCGGTTCATCAGGAGACCCAACGCCTTAAACCTGAATGCTACCAGTAACACAGCATCAAAAAGAAGAGCAAAAACTGACAGAACCTAAGGGAGAAAGGAATAAACCCACAATCACAGCGGGAGTGCTTACCTCCTTGTTACTGCCAAACAAGCCGGCAGAACAGAAAATCAGCAAGAACAGGCCACATCTGCAAATCACAGTTAGCAAACTCAGCCGATGGACACCTTAGAGGGGTTTGCATCCAAAAGCTGTACACCACAGAGCCCCAGACACTCATCTGAGTAAGCCACACGCTGGGCCACAGAACAAGTCTCAATAAATTCCCAAGGACTGAAAATCTTTTGTGTGTGTTCTGTGACCACAGTGGGATTAAGCTGGAAATAAATACAAGAATTACGAGGAAATTCCCAATGTGTGCAACTCAAGCAGAACGCTTCCAAAGAACCCATAGGTCAAAGGTGAAAGCACAGTGCAAGTTAGGACACACTGAATTGAGCGACAATGTCAATTCTTCAGTCTATAATCGAATGCAAACCAATCCAAATTCCAACAGGCGGTTCTGGAGGAAGCCAAGACACCAATCCTAAAACACAGCTGGAAATGCCAACAAGAGGAGAGAACTTTCTGCCAGCCAGCACCACGATGTATTATAAGGCAGAGAAAACGGTGGGACTGATACAGGAAGACAAACCGACAGGCCAAAGGGTCCCCACACGCTCACATACTCAGCCACAGGATGTACAACAACGGTGCCAGTGCAGAGCCAGGGAAAACCAGCGTTGGAGCAACCAGAGAACCACAGAGACCCTGAACCCCTGCCTCACACCAATCAATTGTAAATGCAGCACAGGCGAAAATGTGAAAAATAAAATAGGGTGACATGGGGGGCCAGCTTCACGACCTTGGGGGGCCATCCCCACGACCTTGGGGGGCATCTTCACGACCTTGGGGGCATCGCCATGACCTTGGGGGCATCTTCACGACCTTGGGAGGCTATCTTCACGACCTTGGGAGGGCCATCTTCACAACCTTGGGGGGCCATCTCCACGACCTTGGGGGCATCTTCACAACCTTGGGGGGGCATCTCCATGACCTTGGGGGCATCTTCACGACCTTGGTAGGCCATCTCCACGACCTTGGGGGCCATCTTCATGACCTTGGGAGGCTATTTTCACAGCCTTGGGGGGGCCATCTTCACAACCTGGAGACCATCTTCACAACCTCGGGGGCCTATCTTCACAGTCTTGAGGGGTCACCTCCATGACCTTGGAGGCCATCTCCACAACCTTGGGGTAGGCAGAAATGTCCTAAGTAGGATGTAAACTCACGAAGGAAAAGAAAAAGCCAGACGACTGGACCACACTGTGATTAAGAACTTCTGTTCATCACACGTCACCAATGAAGCGAGAAGGAGCCCAGGGTGAGGGACAGCGCTCGCGAGTGCATCTCTGAAAAAGGGCTCCTGTCTGGAATCTACCAACAGCTCCCACAGGTCAATACCAAAGACACGGCCCAGCAGAGAGAATGGGCGGGGACCTGAACGGCACTCACAGAGGAGACCCCACGTGGTCGCAGAGCACCACCAGTCACCTGGGAATTGCAAATTCAAACAACGGGGTTCCAGGCAGTGTGTCACACCCACCAGAAGGGCTCAAGTTGACCGGTAGAGGCCAAAGCAAGTGGACGCTCAGAGACTGCCGGGGACACACCCTGGGAACCTGACAGAGTCCACTAAACTGGCCATTCACAGCCCCAGGGCCCAACAATCCCTAACTCGGTCTACAGCCAGCAAAGCTGCCCATGCACGTATGCCAAACGAAACACGCAGGGCAGCGGTGTCTGTGACCCCCAACTGGACGCCATCTGGGGATGGCAACCTGAAGACGCCCCTAAAGATGAACAGAGCGTGCACCACCATCAGTTCACAAGATGGAACACTGAGCAGCAAGGAGGACAAGCTAGCGACCACACCACCACACCATGCCATGTGTGAGTAAAAGCAGCCACATGTGAAAGAGCGTGTACCCTAATGCTCCACACACATGAACGCCAAGCAGGGCGGACAAGCTAGCGGCCACACCACCACACCGTGCCATGTGTGAGTAAAAGCAGCCACACGTGAAGGAGCATGTACCCTAACGCTCCACGCACGTGAACGCCAAGCAGGGCGGACAAGT